GGCTGGTGGGGGGGATGGTGGGCTGGTGGGGGGATGGTGGGCCGGTGGGGGGGATGGTGGGCCGGTGGGGGGGATGGTGGGCCGGTGGGGGGGATGGTGGGCTGGTGGGGGGGATGGTGGGCTGGTGGGGGGGATGGTGGGCTGGTGGGCCGGTGGGGGGGATGGTGGGCTGGTGGGGGGGATGGTGGGCTGGTGGGGGGGATGGTGGACTGGTGGGGGGGATGGTGGGCTGGTGGGGGGATGGTGGGCTGGTGGGGGGATGGTGGGCCGGTGGGGGGGATGGTGGGCTGGTGGGGGGGATGGTGGGCTGGTGGGGGGATGGTGGGCCGGTGGGGGGGATGGTGGGCTGGTGGGGGGGATGGTGGGCTGGTGGGGGGATGGTGGGCCGGTGGGGGGGATGGTGGGCTGGTGGGGGGGATGGTGGGCTGGTGGGGGGATGGTGGGCCGGTGGGGGGGATGGTGGGCTGGTGGGGGGGATGGTGGGCTGGTGGGGGGATGGTGGGCCGGTGGGGGGGATGGTGGGCTGGTGGGGGGGATGGTGGGCTGGTGGGGGGATGGTGGGCCGGTGGGGGGGATGGTGGGCTGGTGGGGGGGATGGTGGGCTGGTGTGGGGGATGGTGGGCTGGTGGGGGGGATGGTGGGCCGGTGGGCTGGTAGGTTGGATAGGGGAAAATGGGTGAAAGAAAAAGAAGGGGAGGAGGGAAGAGAAGGTGGGGAGGCCGGGAGAGAGGGTGGAAGGGAAAAGGGGAGTGAGAAAGAAAGAGAGAGAGAAAAGGAGAGGGGGAGGGTGTGTGGATGGGAAAGCTAGAGGGTAGAAAGGGATAGATAGATAGATAGATAGATAGATAGATAGCGAGAGATAAAGAACGGGGGACGGAAAAGACTTCGCACGCGCGCACACACACACACACACACACACACACACACACACACACACACACACACACACACACACACACACACACACACACACACAGAGGGTCAACTGGGAAAAAAGAAAGAGAAAAAGAGAGAAAACGATAACGAAAGCGAGAGAGAGTGGAAGGAGAGAAGTTACCAGAAGCTAAGATGTTTGGATTATCTGAGCTATTTATGTCTCGCTGATGTTTACCTTAACATGGTTTCGAGCTCGCTGCCTACACCTTCGAGGGAGGGGGAAGGGGTGGGCGGTTGGGCAAGGGGGTGGGGGGAGGGAGAGAAGATTGCCACACTTTGCGAAAAGGAAAGCGGGTTTAATGCTTTTGACTTTTTTTTTGTTTAAGGAAGAGAGCGGGTAGTGTGGTGTAAGAGAGTCAAATTTAGAGTTCGGAGGAAAATGTAGTTTTGACCTAAGGATGATTTTTTTTTTTTTTTTCCCCTTAGTTTAGGCTTTGGGTTTTCTTTTGTGTGTGTGTGGGGGGGGGGTGCAGTATGGTTTATGAAAAATCGAAGGTGTAATGTAGCCTCTCGGTTTCAGGAAAATAATGGAATATATTGAATGATGAAAGTATGGAACTTGGGGTTTAGCCTGTGTGTTATTTGGGGGAAAAAAGGAGGAAATCTAATTATGATATGGACTCTGAATTTCGGGAATAAATTAAGAATGTGTAGTTAGGCGGAAAAACTAAGAATTTGGACTTTTTTTGGAGGGAGGGGAAGGTGGGAGAGAAGACTGTGTAACGAACGAAATTTATGATGCGTAGTCTGGAGTCTTTTTTGAGTTTCGTGTACAAAACGTCTAGCGTAACGAATTTATGATATAGACTTTGGGTTAACGGCTAAATAAAAGGGGGGGGAAAAAAGGAAAAAGGTTTTAGTAGACTTTGCCACGCGCGCAGTCCCTCTCGGCTCTCCCTCGAGGTGTACCAGAGTGACCGCCGGGACCACGGTGCCACATTCGTCACTCCTGGTGTCTTAATTAGCTAATGTGTCGGAGGGGGGGAGGGGAGAGGGAGGAGCAGCCCCCCCCCCTCCTCTTGATTCTCTTGTCCGAAAGGAGGGAGCGGGAGGGATGGAAGGAAGGAAGGAAGAAAGGGGGAGGGGAGAAGGAGAGAGGAATGAACGAGAGAGGGAAGGGAGAGGGAGAGAGAGGGGTGAAGGAGAAATAGAGGGGAGAAGGAAAGGGAGGGAGAGAGAAAGAGAGAGGGAGGGAGAGAAGGGAAAGACAAGAGGAGAAGGAGAAAGGGGAAAGGAAAAAGTGAGGAGAGGGAGGGTGAAAGGGAAGAGTAGAGAAAGAGAGAGAGAGAGAGAGAGAGAGAGAGAGAGAGAGAGAGAGAGAGAGAGAGAGAGAGAGAGAGAGA